CCTTCTTTTTAACTCATGTAGTTCATGGGTGAGTAGGGTCCGGAATAGGCAAAGTAATCTAGCAAACATACAGAGAGGATAAACCTACAAGCAATCTTGTGGAATGCTCCATCTCAGCAGTGTAGCATTGAGTGGCTATGGAATTATAATTGTGAGGTCATAATGGTCTTACAGTGCAGCTTTGACTAGTTTAAGTATAAGTGGACAGGCACCACTCGAGACAAAGAGGGATCCATAAAGAAAAACAGATATGCTCCTGAAAAATAACAGGTATAGCTACTAAAATGTAACTTACCCAGTCACAGTCTCACAAACGAGTGAAGGGTGGAAACAGGTGGATGATGGTACCCCAACAAGGAAAAAACAGCTACCCAAAGCAGATAATGGGAGATGAATGTATGAGGTGTAGTCCCAGTGCTTAACAGACGAAGTACCTCCAATGCACTACAGGGTTGATATGTAGGGAAAAGGGGAGATACATGATTGGAGTAAAGACACCAGTATTGATGATGCGAAGAAGAAGAAAAGGAATAAAAGGCCAATCGAAACATAATTCAAACCTATTGGGACAAGGAGGAAGGAAAAAAATCACAGACAAAACAGTGGAGTAAGGGAAGGATATTTTGGGAAATAGATTCAGATTCAACAGAAAAAAGCCTTGAAAACAATAAAGCAACCCACAGAATGTACTAGATAAACAAGGTCATCTGGAATAGACTAAGAAAAAATGTGGAAGATGGTAAGAAATGAAAAAGTCAAAAGAAATATACCTCATGAGCCATGAAAATGTAGGTGGAAGAAAACAAAAACAATCCAGAATAAAGGAAACAAATCAAGCTGAAACAGGAAAGATCAATCAGAAAAACCTGAACTGGAGTGATATGGATGAACAAACATTTGGGGGAAAAAAGTTATGGAATGAGAAGAAAACTAATGTTATAAACTGGATGTAATCCTGTCTGAACGTATCAACAGTCAGGGCAAGTGGATGAAGAACTAGAAACCAAAAACAAGAGAAGTAACTACCTGGAATTGATAAAAAATTCAAAACTTCACGTGGAGAATTACCCTACAGGAGGCAGAGCCACCAAAAATTTGGAGCATTGAGATGTCACTCCTTGGGAGAATATGTGATAGGATGGAAAAGTCAATCAGCAATAAGGACATAAGCAAACAGCAGTGTCCTACCCATGAAAATCCCAAAAGTAAAGAAGCAACGTGTGAGGGGAAAGAACTGAAGATGGCAAATGCCCCAACATGGGAGAAAAGAGGAGGAGGTCTCCCACAAAAATCCCTAAATATAGGTGGAACACCTAAGAAAGGAAGTGGAAGGTAAACATTACTTGTAGGAGAGTAGATAGGGTAATACAAATTTGAAAAACTAGGTAGGGGAGAAAATGGATAGGATTAACAGATATGCGAAGGACATAAAATCAAGAAGAAAATCTGCCTGATGGGAAGCTAAGGCAAAAATAATTAAAGCCTGTATAAGGCAAAGTTTGCAAGTACCCACTATAAAAAGAGAGACACAAAGATCATCATGAAAAAGTATAGGAGAATGGAAATATACTGTGAAACGTGTCTTAAAAAAAAACAACTGAGATGGACCTACCAGATTTTGCAGAAGAGGACTGGAATGCAATCCATGATAAGGTGGAGGAAATCTGGGCCATCTGAAATGGGTTCAGCCATTATTGAAGGAAGGCGAGCAATATAGGGAGCAGGTAGCCCAGGGGCCCACACAAATGATATTAAGGGTAATAAGTAATAATAAGGGTAATAAATCAAACGAAATCAATTTTAAGAAATTATGTAGTGAAATAAACATACGTAATACATGTTATATGTTGAAGAAAACAAAATAGTTAACCTAACTATTGATTAACCCGAAAGTATAACCATAGGTAAACCAACATTAACAGACAGTTATTAAGACTAGGCTAACGAGATTTAAACTTAATAAGTGATTAACCAGTAAGTAGAACTACAGGTAAACTGAAAATAACATACATGTGTTAAGCCTAATCAAACAGTGCAGGAAAAAGGATATCACTGAAGCTCTAAAATAAAATTCTTAACCTAACAATATGTATGTATAATACTGGAAGAAATTAGTTTGGACATGGCTCAAGGCTTCTACACAAACCAAGTTAATATGAAGAAGTATAAAAAATAAATAATAACGAAAACGAAATAAACATTAATTTATAAAATGAAATAAGTGTGTATTAACAATAATCTATGTATGCCATGATGTATGAAAGAAAAACAATACAGTTAAACAAATGATTGATATATCAGTAAGATGAATTACAGGTAATCATAAAATAACAAAGAACCCTGGTATCACTGGTATAGGAGAAAAGACACAACTAAGGCAAAACTTTAACCTGAACTGGACTATGAGTATTGACCAATCTAACAAAACTGATGCTATAGAACTCAAATAAATAAAGATAATAATATTAAAATTATTAAAAAACCATAAAAGTATAATGTCTTATCTTTCCAAAGTCGGCAGACTGTATGTCAAAATGTGTGGGCCCCAAACTTGAGGTGAAGCCCAATGAAAGTCAACTCATTGAACAATCAATCTCCCGATGAAGTAAAGCCGAAAATCTTCCCGCAAAGTACTGCTACATGAAGCCTTTGTAAATGTGCTGATAGAACATATACCCTTCAAAGTGATAACGTAAAATTCATAATGCAAAATGAATAACCAAACACAACTGTGTTGGAAGAAAAAATAAAAAGTTTTTGTAATGAAGTAATAAGTTCTATAACCAGGTAGAACTATAAAACAATTCCACCTCGGAATAACTCAACAAGTATAAATATCATTATTGTATAATAAAAAGTAAACTTGTTGAGAGAAATTAGTACAAAGATACGGAAAAAAATTAAAATAAAACACTTGAAGAGAGCACAAACTAAACATTACAATGCAACTACTGCCAAACGAGAAGTGATGGTTCGGTAGAATTGAATAGAGGGAGTCACATGCATCAAAAGAGTATGTTGCACTTTTATTGATGGAGGGTTGTCGCATGACGATTTGCATGCGAGACACATTGGAATCAGTCAATTCCAGATTGGTGAGAGCTTCAAGGCTTGTAGGATGCATAAAAAAAAAATTGAATATAGAGGGCAACACTAAACAAGAATAGCTATTTTTGTGAGCAGAGGTAATGTACTGTATCGGAAACCTATGTTATTACTGTGAATTATTTAAGAAAAAAAGATCAAATTTAGCAGCATTAATTTTTTTGCCATTGGTACATATACCAAACCTGCTAAATAATATAAAAAAACACACTTTATATCATTTGCAAATATGAATTACTTAAAATCTAAAAATACAAGTCTTTTGTAAAAAGTAATATTTTTGCTTAATCATTGTGTTATATAAACCTATCATATGGTTTGGTTAGTTGTGTTAAAAAGAGAAAAAAAAACAGTTCACCTGTATTGTTCTTCAATGATCTTTTTTTCTTGTTTTGTTCAGCTTCTAAGTTTAAATGATTGCCAAACAACCAACTGCTTATGTTTACTTTCAGGCCTGATCTGATGTATTAATCCACCTTCATAATTTACTTACAGCCTTTATCTTTAGAAGTTTTAATGTATCTTTCTCCTATTTCTATCTCATTGCCTTACATTCTTTTTTGGTAACTTTGGAAACTTCAAACAAGTTTATATGCCACATGATAGAAGCTTTATAAATAAATACATAGACAAACACAAAATGTGTTTAAATTTCAAAACATACAAATCATTTTATCCAGTTTAGTTTTGTTGCCACTTAACAATTGTGGACAAGAATTATTTTCATAAAGCTTATTCCTTAAATGAATTACAAGTTACTGTTGAATAAGGATAGTCATTTGGTTACAAATCATTTTCTATGAATTTCTTGATTTATTTTTTAGCTGAAGAAGAAGAAGAAGTCCAAAAGAAAATTTTGTTTATGCTTATGAGAGTATTTTCAATATAGTAAGAGTATGATTGTGAAGATACTGCAAGGGTAACCTGTGTCAGTTTCAACAATTACATGCATACAATTACTTGAAAATTGTGTATTGAAATTTCAAACAAGTAATGCATCAAAAAGGTAACATAAGGAATCTAATTTTACTCAGTAGAACTGAATGAACGTAATGTAACACATACCGTTCTCTGGTGAGTGTTGCTCAAGAGTTTCTGAAATTGGTAGCAAGTTGTTAACAACAAGAGTGGTCAACCTGTGTTCACTTTCTGCTGCATCCTCTACCAGTGTCAGGAGATTGCTGAGCATCTTTGTGATTAGACCAACAACCACTGGCTGAGCTTTGTTAGCAATGTACAAGGACATTACATGTGACAAAGGAGTCAGGTCCTTGTTTTCTGGATGATGTTTTGAAAACAGAGCAAAATACCTAAAAATAAATACCAGTTTTGCTTAAAATTTCAAAAATAAATTTCACTAAGTACTATGCTTCTGTAAGTGTTATACTAATTTTACTCTTTTAACAGGAAAAAAAAAGTCAAAAAAATTATCTGAAAAACAAAAAACTACAAAAATAATGGATTACTTAAACTGCAACAAATGAAACCAATTATTCAAAGTAAAATATATTCCAAGATATGTGACATGTATCATCTTCAAGTATAGATGATTAGTATAATGCTTTTGATAAAAATACAGTTGCATAGTAATTCCAAAAAATGTCAAATATTGATTCAAATGACTTAAAACGATATTTGTGTAAAATATCTATTTACAATTAAAAAAAATACAATGTTAACATTATTACACAATAAATAGTTATTAAAAAGAGGGACTTGCGATAAAAAAGACTCTACACGTGTTTCACTGTCCTATGACACCATCTTCAGGAGTAATAACAAAGGCATGGTTGGGACTTATATACCTACATTATCATTTACGTACCAATAACCCCATCTAGACTTACACTACCCAGAGTTACAACACATCTGTCCAGTACTTTATTATTTCTAGAATTTCACCAGCTTTCTTGTTAAGATATTTTTTTCAATTTCAATAGTTTCTCTGATATTTAATTCAATTTTAAATTATACCTGTTTTATCAGCTTAGTGTTATTCCAGTTTATAACATAAGATGTTTCTGCCACATGTTCTGCTAATATCAATTCCTTTACTTTGTATTCTTCTATCACGTTTTTATGTTCCTTGATCCTGAATTTTAAATTACTACATGTTTGGCCAACATAAAATCAACCACAGATATAAGGAATTTTGTAAATCCCAAATTTATCAATTTCGTCTATTCTATCTTTTGTACTTGTGAAATTATTTAATTTACAATGCGAACAGAATATTACACTACATTCTATATATTTTTTCATTATATCATCTATTCTTGTAGATAAGCCTTGAACATATGGTAAACAAACTCTCAGGTTATCTACTTTACATTTTCCTATAACCTTTACATGCTAACATTCTGAATTTATTGATATGTTTATGCTGCAATCTATCAATACTTTTGGGTTTATGTCCTCTAGCTCTAGAACACGTTTTAAGAAACTTAACCCTGCTTTTACATCACAATCATAAGTGCATATTTTTAAGGCTCTAAACAGAAATGTGGAAAAGGCGGATAGTTTTTGTGCCCATTGGTGACACGATCTATTGCGTGGTGGTAACACCACAGAAAATGGCTTTCCACAAAGAAGTTGAGAGCCATCTATTGTCCAATTAAGCTGACCCTCTTTTTCCATCTCTAATGTAAATTTGATGGTAGGACTGATCAAATTAAGATGTTCTTCAAGTTCTAATAAAGTCCCAACGTCATTCTGCCACACTAAAAACGTGTCATCTACGTACCTTAACCACACTAAAGGTTTTACCTCAGATGTGCTAAACATCTTCATTTCAAAATTGAACATAAATAATTCACATAAGACCACCATCACTAAACCTTTAATATGTTTAAAATATTTATTTCCCGCCTTAAAATATGCATTTGACATACACTCATGGGTAAGCTTTAAAATGTAGTTCACCTCAAGCAGAGAAAATTTCTTACTCTCCAGTAATCTATTTTCCAAGCAATCCAGAGCCTTCTTAACTGGAATGTTCATAAACAGCGACATAATGTCAAAAGAGACTAATCTATCAATTAATTCTATATTTATCAGCAAGATTTTGTAAAGAAAATCAAACGAATTTCCTACTGTATATTCCTGAAAGTTAATGAAAAATGAACATTTCCAACAAATTTTGATAAAGGATAAAATGATGAACCTGTATTGTCCACAACTGGATGTCAAAAGAGACTAATCTATCAATTAATTCTATATTTATCAGCAAGATTTTGTAAAGAAAATCAAACGAATTTCCTACTGTATATTCCTGAAAGTTAATGAAAAATGAACATTTCCGACAAATTTTGATAAAGGATAAAATGATGAACCTGTATTGTCCACAACTGGATGAAAGGGGATATCAATCTTGTAGATTTTAGGTAGAGCAACAAATCTTGGTAAAATGAACCTTGAGGGGATGAAGTCTTTCCTTTCTTGTAGTATCAAAATAGCACAGTTTTTAACTGTCATTTTTAACCTATTATAAACTATGGAGGTGGTGTCCTTTTTTTACTTGTTCATAAGAACTATCCTCTTACAATTTTTTGACTTTGTTGTCATAAACCCTTTTACCTAATATTATGACTTGACCACCTAAATTTGCTTTACTAATTAAAATTTTATGATTTTTCTTCAATGCTTGTAACTGTTCTAACTCATCCTTCCTTAAGTTAAGTTTAGGTTTACCCTTCTGGTTCAGCAATTCATTGGCTACTTCTGTTCTAACTGCATGCTTCATCCTATTATTCACTTTTAAAACATGCTTCTGTTGATACAATCAGGTCATCTTTCACTAAAAATTTTTGTTAACTGAAAAATGTAAGCCTAAATATAAAATTTCCATTTGTTTAGATGACACATTCTTATTTGACAAGTTAATAACTTTAGGGTTTGACAGTAATTTATTGTACTTATTTTCTGAGACTGGGATCTTATTATTCAGTTTATCTTTTAAACTTTCCTTCTTTTTTGTTAATCAAATTATTCAGTTTTTACTCAATTTCACCTTATTATCTATTATTAATTCTTCAACCAACTATACAAAAGTCCTTGGTTAATTTTAAATACTACTCGTACAGTGTAGCTTCTGTTACTGCTAACTCTCTTCTCTTTAATCATAACTCTAAGAATTTTTCCCTGGGTTTGTTGCTATTTCTTCTACATTTGTTTAATAATTTCAGAAGTGCAAATCGTACTCAAAATATAGTGATTATTTCTGAATTGCTTAATAGTGTTTCCCAATCTTTTTACACCACACATCCCAAGTCAGATCTTTGAACCTAATGTATATGTAGGAACTCTTCTGGTAATTCTATAATTAATATGCAAAAACCATTACAATACCACCATTTTAGCTTTGTTGTTTACAGAAATGTCAGGAATAAATATTCATAATAAGACTAAATACACATAGTTAAAAAAAATGTAAAACAAACTCATCATTTAAGGAAATTGAAGTAAGTCATGTATTTCTTCTTAAAGTTCAGCTTTAGAATAAATCACAATAAGCTTGAGTCTTTAACTATGTTTTATTCCAAAAGCTATTCACTAATAATGCCAACTTCAAACACTCAAATATATGACAATTTCAGTTGCAACTATCAATTTTACTATAGAGAATAGAACATATATATGTAACTTTGCAGTTATAGCTTCAATTTACTAGTGCAGCATTTCCCAAACTTTTTTGGCCACAGAACACTTTTCAGCTGAGTAAAAGCTTATGGAACACTAGACACATGAAATATCAGTAGAGGGTATGTTGCATGTGCAGCGCCCTCTACATTTGTATATTATTCATGTAATCAAATTATATATTATTGAATTTTTAAATTTTTATGCATATTCTAGGTACAAACATCTCCACTAAGATATTATGTAAAATAGATATGGCATCTTCTATAATTCTTCTTCAATGCGAAATCAATATTATCTAATTCTAATACATAAAAAAATATTTCATAATAAGTTATGATCATGCAAAAATTGTTAAATAATTTATTAAAATCATGATTTTCTCATGGAGCACCTATCAATCTTGGACAGAACACCATTGTTCCGTGGAACATAGTTTGGGAAACATTCTACTAGTGAATAGAACATTTAAGTGATGTTGCATATAATGTTGTAGTTAAAGCTGTCAACTTTACTAGTAAAAAAGAACATTTCTATTTAATGTTGGAGTAAAAGGAGTCAACTTTATTACAGTGAAGAAAAGACTTGTATGTAATAAAATAATCACAACTTTACTATAGTGAAGAAAAGACTTGTATGTAATAATATAATCACACAATCAATATTTTTGATTACACAGTTTAAAAACTTTATTCTGAGACTGTCAATGGTCTCAAAACAGACTTTCTATATGTTTTGACCACATTTGTTTTGGTCATCATCAGGCAGAATCTATAAGTGTTATACCAGTTTTAATAATTAAATGACGATGATGACAGAAATAAATGTGGTTGAAACAAGCTACAAAATATCTTTGTTTTGCAATAATAAATAATTGTCGTTTAAAATTTTTATTACTTATATTAATTAAATGCTACGTGATATATGTGTAAACCAATTATATGTGCACAATGTTGCAGTTCAAGTTGTCAACTTTATTAGTGAATAGACAATTTGCATATAACATAGTTGAAGCTGTTGCAGTTCAAGTTGTCAACTTTATTAGTGAATAGACAATTTGCATATAACATAGTTGAAGCTGTCAACCTTACTAGTAAATAGAACATGTGTATGTAATGTTGTTGTTTAAGTTGTCAAATTTACTGTAGTAGGTAGACCTGAGGAAGAAAAAAATTAAGTTTTCAAAAGTCTGTGATTGCCAGCACACAGCCAACAAAACTCAGTTTACTCTCTTCTAAAAATATGTGCTTGTTCTATATTCTATATCTAACATGTATCAGGTTGTGATCATATAGGTAAAATAAGTAGTTTAAATGCACATTTAATATTGTAATTTTATCACAATATAGTTGACCAATACAATTTTATACCATTTTACTACAGTAAAGTTATCATGATGATTTATGGATATAATCAACATGAAATGCCTACTTAGTTCAGTGCTGTTATTTAAATGACCAGTAGTATGACTGAAAATTAGAAACAAACAATTTTAATCTTTACTACATATACCTGCTCACCTTGAACTGAAAAAGAATAGCTTTATGTCAAATTTATGTGTATACTGTTCACCTAAAGCTGAATTAAAGAAACTAGTCACACACATACACTCATAGTAAGCAATGTAATTATCTAGACAACATAAACAAATAAATAAGCAAGTTAAAAAAGTCACAGTTACATCTAAAGACTTAACATGTAAACAAAATGAACACAATAATGTTAAAATTACTTTTGGTAAGATGCAAATTCAGGTAAAATCTTGACACAAATTTATTTGGTCAGATCTAGGTAGAAATGCTTTTAAGAAATACTAAATAATACAGTCTGTTTGAAAATAATATATTCTTAATATAATAAATTGCAATTAGATTTCTGTTCCACATATAATATACAAAAACAACACTCTTTCATTTCAATCTCAGTATCTGTTCCAACTGTCATTGAAGTATGAGCTAGTGATAATCACTCCCACTTTAATTAGGCTGTTACCTCTTTCTGTAAACATGCCAACAATCTCAGTCAATAGGACATAAAACAATTATGTCATATAATAAACCTTATTTCTTATAAAACAAAAACAATGTATTGAAAAAATATTTAATTTCACAGTTACACTTTAGTAATATAAAATACCACACAAGTTACATCATTTAATGTAAAAAAGAAAAATATATTTATACGTAACACATACCGAGGGTCTTCACTCCAAGCACTAAAAAGCCTAAGTATTGGAGGTGGGTAGTTCAATCCTTCATATTTTAATCTTGGTAGCTGTGTATGATAATAACAATAATAATTTATTTTTTTCAAGTACTTCTAAAACTTGAATAAGTTTATTCTATTTGAAAATGCAACACCATTAAACCAATAAATTTCTTGTAAAATTTCATGGGAAACAATAATATAATTTGCACACTTTGTTTTGAACATCCATCAACATTCTCTTGCTAATTTTCATGATATGGATCCTGAGAGTCTCCAAAACAACTTTGATTTCTTATTGGGTAACATTATTTTGAATGCTACCTAAACACATTTTCTACGGTTATCCCTATAAATACTTTTCTACACAAGTCACTGAGATACATTCAAAATTTAATAAAACAACTTTACTGTCAATGTATGTGAATGAAATTAACATTATAATGTAGGTTATAATTGGAAGTTTTATGTTATATTAGTTTTATTTATTTCAATTCAAAAGAAACCTTTAAAAAATACTTAAGCTTTACTTTTGTGTTGTCACATAACCCACAAGCAATGAAAAATATAAACTTTCACACTTCTTATCTTGATTCATATAATGCCAATCCTGTAGATGTATGTCTAGATAATTAAGTATGTAATTTATCCTATGACTCATAAATTTCAGTCTTCCAGTTAAATGGAGTAAAAACAAGTAATACATTTTGTCAACCTCTGATGAGTGCCACACCCACATTCTATACTTTTGCTTGAGCTTTATAACATACATGTAGTAGCTACATATACATGTTTATAATCAATAGAAGGAGCTCATTTTATGTTATTAGCCAACAATGGTTATTCTGAAATTGACACACACATATCATTATCTGGTACACGTATTATTATACATGCCCGTATTATTGTTGGCTGCTTGATCCCCAATAGCACTTACAGTTTTTCTTAGCTAAATGTGTTATAGTTATAGAGACAGTTAAACTGTATTTAGGTCTTACTTTTATATCTTAGTTAATTATGTATTATTTATGCTTTTAAGATGCACAATTTAAAGGTTTAAACATTTTTTTAAATATACATCATACTTTCCATCAGTTTTGAAGACTAAAGATCTTGTGCTCATGGAAGATAACTTAGCAGAAGGCTTATACATCTCTATTGAAGATACTAGAATCACAACCCAAGGGCCCCTTTGACTTGTTCCGAGATGAATAATTACAGGTAAAGAACAGAAAAGGAAAATAAGATATTAAAATTAAGTATATGTGAAAAGAAAAAGACCTGAAATTACTAGTATAGCCACAAGAAGATATTTTAAAACATTCTATGACAAATTAAAAGGTATGTACTTTTTTATTTCTTAATTTTAAGCATTTCATTGCACTGTATGCTGATCATAATATATACACTTAGTGATAAGGTAGAGAATATAAAAATAAAATATAAACATTTTCATTAAAAAACTTTTGATATTCATTTAGGAGGTGCTAGATATCATGCAAACGAATATGAATACTATAAATGAAGAAAAGTATTTTTATATTTAAAATGAAAATCACCTTGCACTCGAATTAAAAGTTTGAGTGCAAATAACTACAATAGATAAATAACATATTTTTAGTAGAAACACTTAATTAAAATAATATCATTCTTTGTGTACAAGATACTTATAATCTTTAATAAAATTGTACTAGTTTTTGTGAGGCTATATCAAGAAATCTCAGAATTCTAGTATGTATTGTTGCACAAGTGAAATTCATATATGCCCCTGTGCAAACTGTAGGGGGCCTGTTGTGAAAGGGTTAAATACATGTCTATTTTAATTTTCATATTAATCTATAAATTCATTCCTGAGAGCTCCACAAAACTCCTCTGATCTTCCTACCCATACTGGGGTTTAAGTTTGAATTCAGATTATTGCTAACTCTCCATTTTAGGAACTTCTTGCAATTCTTTAAAACATTTGTTTCTTCACCTGCATTCTATGACAGGTCAAGAGCCTACATGTAAATTATCAATTAATTTTGTAAGATATGTAGGAGGGTTCAAAAATCAAATAAACACAGATAGATACATACAATTAATAATTAATATGTACATTATAAATTCATTTATAAATCCAAAATTTATCAAGTTTAAAAATTACCTAGAAGCTATCATGTTTCCAAACTGTATGCCTTTATGTTCTTAAAATTTTCCAATAGCTTTATCAATATATAGTCAGATTTTACAGAAACAGTAATAACCAACAGATACACTGTCTTTGTGTCACAATGATAAAAATACCCTGTAATATTATGACTTTAATTTAATTAAAAGTGCATGGGTAGTTCTTTCCCACCATCTTATAATCACAGTCTTTGTGCAATAAAAATAAAAACACCCTGTTAAATCATGACTTTAACTTCATTAAAACTACTTGTGGAGTTCTTTCCTCTCACCTTAGTTAGAAACTAAAGGACATTTTAAAAACAAAATCACAAGTTATAAAAAAAAAAAAAAAAAAAAAAAAATTAACCG